GTCCAGCCCAGCTTTCTGTATGATAAAGTATGTTCTGCATACAGATCGAGCAGATAAGGGGATAAAATGCATTTTTGTCTGCGATATTTGCCTATAACAAACCATTCTGTCTCCCATATTTTGTCCTAACAGCAGCTTCTTGCCCAGAGCATCAGGACAATTAAGTGCTGAGGCATGCCCATTTCTTTCTGAACAACCCATACTGTAATTTGGTATATTTATACCACTCTGAGCGGCTATCATCTGCTGTCATCTATAAAGCATAGTCTGATAGTGCTCTGTAATTCTTTGGTGTGCTCCAGTTGCCAGAAGATACAGTATTTACAATGTGACTTGATATGCCTCTTACTTTTCAGACTCCAGCTTGAACATCTGGCATTTTTTTTTGCACCATATAAAAGCCTTTGTTGCAATACCTTAAACATCACTTTGCTTACATAGAAAATTAGAGCAATTGTCTTATAGTTACTCCACTCCTTGGCATCTCCTTTCTAGAGGATTGGAATGTATATTGAACATTTCCAGTCTGTGGGTCACTGTTTTATTTTTCCATATTTGTTGCCATGTTCTTGTTAGGATGTTGACAGATTCAGTCTCTGTAGCTTCGAAATGTTAATTTTGGATAGCAAGTATCCTCTGAACTTAAGTGCCATTTGGATTAATCTCATGCCAGCCTTTAAATCCTGTTGGCTGAAATCCTATTGTTTAGCTATGATAGAGTAGGCCCATTGAATCGGGGTTTAGTGAGTCGGTAAAGGTTCCCCTTGACATTTAGTCCAGTCATGTCCAACTCTAGGGTGTGGTGCTCATCATCATTTCCAAAACAGTTTCTGTGGTCACGTGGCCAGTGTGACTAGACACAGAACACTGTTACCTTCCCACCGTGGTGGTACCTATTTATCTACTCACATTTTTACATGCTTTCAAACAGCTAGGTTGGCAGGAGCTGGGTCAAGCGACGGGAGCTCACTCTGTCAGATGGATTCGATCTTACAACTGCTGGGCTTCTGACCTTGCAGTACAGAAGCTTCTGCAGTTTAACACACAGAGCCACCACGTCCCTTTTTTAGTGTTTCAATTCCTATGTAAATCCCATTGATTCAAACAAGTCTATTCTAGTTGCAACATTTTATTTTCCAAATATGTTTTAAAACATCATGAATATTAACATATCTAGGGAAGGTGGCACTATCTTAGAAGCTACCCAAGGACATATTACTTATTATGAAGAACTTCATACTCATAGTATTCAATTATACAGTAAAATGAACAGAGGCTTTGAAATGATTGGCTTCAGATTAAAAGCAATCTTTAACCACAAATGGAGGATTTGATTCAGTGTAAACCATTTAATCATGTTTTGTACCTGAAGTCATCTTCATCTAAACTTGGTTTTGGGCTTTTTCTAAATAATCCACATCTCCTACTGCTAATAGTGAGGCAGCATTATCACATATATGGGGGAAATGTTCATTAATTGAGTTCTTAAGCTAAATTGCCACCTTTATAAATCCCTTTGGTTTCAGTAGTGTCTTCTAGAGAATGGAAGCAGAGACAGGCAAGAAAGCCCTGCTTCAAAATTTTTCCCCAGTCATGAATTTGCTAGGACTGGATTTCCTGTGTATACTTTTGGCAAGGCGCAAGTCGTACAAGATTCATTACATGAGATCCTTAGGGAAGTCACCATTCCCTTTTTTCCTTGTTCTAAGGACCACTAAGATTATATGGGAAATACTCTGTGCACCTGATAGCCAAGCTAAAACCAAATTATATGTTAATCACTCCGCCTATTCATTCACTTTGCATACATCTGCATGTGCCTAAAAACCCTGTTTGAGCTTAAAACATATTCCTTGGTTTTGAATGAGGAATGCGTCTTGTAGAAGGTATCACCTTAGCAGAGACATTTTACCTGCATGAGATAAGTAAAACACCACCTCTTCAGGATGGTGCTTCGCACTTGCAGCTTTTAACACTCATCCAGTCCAATAAAACAACTTGCACTGCAGTAGTTCTGATCCCATAAGACTACTAGTGTATTGGAGGTTGGTAAGAGACTTAGAGTTACAGATCATGTAAGATTAGTGAAGATTGGTAAAAACCCCCACAATTCCCACCCCCCCCCCCCCCAAAAAAAAGCTCCCAAAGCAAGCAATTGTAATCTAATCAAGCTCAGGAAGCATGTTTTACAAAATGTAGGGCAGACAGTAGGCATGGAAGATATTGTTTTATTTTTGTAAACATCAGACTAGTACTGCACCCATACATAAAAGTAATTTCCTTATTGAACTGTACACATGATATATCACCCTTATCATACTTGCGAGGCAAGGCATTGCTTGCTGATTCCAGTGCCATCATAAACCAAGAGATTGTGGCTTTGTTCCGGTATGCAAGAATGCAGGCCTTTGTGGCAGTCGTGTGGGGGAACGGAAGGCATTCTGTTTACTGTGTGTGTATCAATCATGCCTTTTGTTGCTATGGAAAGGCCAACAAGGGGAGATGTCGGAGAAGAGATTCACGGCATCTTGTGATGACCTCAGGTGCTCTTCTCCATTCAGAGACATGAACGCAAATGTTTCAGCAGCTGCTGAGATAATATATACATCTCCCTTTAATTCCACTTTGTGTGCCTTTCACATATTTAACCTTGGTGTATAGATGCATGAATTCTAGACCTATCTCAAAGTTACTTTTGAAAAAAGATAAAGATTTAGGATTGTGCTTTTAAAATTTCCAACACTCATTACCTGTTCTGGCAATGAAAAAAAGTGAAAGAAAAAGTAGCATTTTAAAAGAATGCTTGATTTCAGCATGTAATTGTAAATATATACAACTCCTTAAAGAAAAAAATTGCAGAGAATCGGTAAGCAGTATTTTTATCAGCATTCTAACTTCTTGCTTCATTTGCTAGCAAAGAATATGTCACTGCTTTACCAGATATTAGCTCTCTTATAGTTAATATTTAAATACAATATTTCATTTAAAACAGTATTTGATCTTCCCAGATTCTCAGTTTTGACTAAGGTTGGGTTTTGTAAAGCTTATTTTAATTACCTTACAGACAAGAAAATGTGCTATCAAAAGCTTTGCTGTGATCAAAAAATTCTACTTTTGAAAAGCATACCTAATTACCTTCAGAGTTATTACATTATATATTTATTTTTCAAACAAATTCTAAACCTTAAAAATATAAATCCCACTGATTTTGTTTTTAGCATAACAGTGGAACAGTGACAGCCAGTATTCCTGAATAGTTCCAAATGCATGTATGGAACTGTTGGATAGCTCAGTGGCTTAGCTCTCTGGGAGTTGAATTCCCCACTGTGCTTCCTTGGAAGGGGCTGGACTCGATGATCCATAGGGTCCCTTCCAGCCCTGCAGTTCAAAGGTGGCTTTGATGATGATGATTGCTTGGACCTCAGTTAGAGCTATTTAATCTTCATTTTGCATTACCAAACAGAATAGGCCACATGGAGGTTACAGGCAGGGTGGAGATAACATGGAGAGTGGGATGAACGCTGTACTTTCACCTTTGCTCAGCTCTGACATACTTTAGCAGCAGCATCAGACATTCCAGTAGGGTTCACCTTGCATGCAACATTCTCCAGTCACAAGGAAACTGACTTGTGTCAGTCTAGAAAGAGGGAGATAAAAGGGTTGACTTTGGCACTGTGGGTTTTCGCCCTGGAGACTGAACACTTGTATGCACCTCTGCTTGCTTTTCCCCCCTTCAAAGGACTATAAGAGGTGGTGAAGTGATAACTCATTCAAAAATAGTAGTATTACTCATCCATTCCATATTTTGTTTCCCTACCTTTCCCATTATCCTGGATTTTAGTTAGTCTTTTTTTTAGAGAGAAGTGACTACAGTATCAGATCACAGCTTTGATGAACTCTAAATCAGGGACTCACTCTATCTGTTTGATATTTGGCAGGTCCAGTTCTCTGGAATGTTAGCAAAATGCATGAAAGCATCAGACCAAATGGGTAGGAAATACAAAAGTTAGTGACTGAAAAAAAAACCTGTTGGATTTCTTTCTATCCATAGCTCTTGCATATAACATAAGACTGAATTTAGAGGAGCAATTTTAACAACTGCCAATTGTATATCTCGCCTGAGTTTAGTTGTGCAATTATTTTCCTCTTCCTATTTCTCATTACATTACTGTTCTCAAAGTCTACAATAATGGCTAGAATGCTAGTTTTAACCTACAAAGACCTAAATGGCTTGGGTCCAAGCTATCTCAGGGACCACCTCTCCCTTTATGAGCCTGCCTTTGTGTTAAGATAATCAGGGAAGACCTTTCTCTAGGTCCCAGCACCCTCACAAGGACATTTGATGGGGATACAGGAGGCCTTCTCTGCCGCTGTTCCCAGACTCTGCAACTAACTTCACATCTAACTCACTGCATTTTGCTGGACAGTTTTCCTTTGTTTATCTTTGCAACAGTAGACTATTCAGAGGATCCTCCTTCAGATCACACTGTCTAGGTATGTTCCAGAATGTTAATTGCAATGTCTTGCTTGATACCTGGAAGTTGAGTCATGGCAATGGGACTACTTTCTTATTAGGTTGAAACGTTTCGCTACTCATCAAAGCAGCTTCTTCAGTCTGAGGAGAGTTGGTAGGAGATCCCAGTTCTATCCTCCAACAAGGGTCTCCTACCAACTCTCCTGACTGAAGAAGCTAACAAAATGTTTCAATCTAATAATAATTCCAGTTGCCATGATTCGACTTCCAGATAACCTCACCTGGATGACTGAGAATCTTCACAAATATGTCTTGATAGTTTACTATGAAAAATATATGGAGCACAGTTGTCACATGGGAATTCATGTACCATTTTGTGAACTTATGAAATGCATTTTTGAGATTCTTCAAATCCAAGAAAGGGACACTCATATGGGATGCAGATTAGGTCTCAAAGTCCAGAGGGGATGTTTAACTGCAGGTAGGCTCGACGTACGCATGGCATGAAATTTAACACTGAATACTTAAATTTGCTATTTCAATTCCTTTGTACTGCGTGAGTAGATCAGTAAACTTCTGAACTTGAAATGAAAGATTTTCAACTTTGAATGTTAAAATCTGAAGACCAGTACAAACATTTCACCACCAATATCTATTTATAGGTTTCATACACCTGATGTCATCTATTGAAATTCTGATATTTTTTTAAAAATAGCTAATGATTAGAGATGGGGTGCAGATAATGAGGGTCCGGCCCCCTGGATCCAGACTGACCACTCCCGATTTCGCCACTGCTGCGAGCTCCATGGAGCCTTCCTATTGCTCCGTTGCTCATGATGGATTAGCCACGCTGTGACCTGGCAGAGAGGCTCATCATCCCACCTTCTGCCAGGGCTGGCTAATCTACAGCAAGCAATGGAGCGATAGGAAGGCTCTGTGGGGCCGGTGGCAGCGGTGAAATTGTGAGTGGTCAGTCTGGCCCCAGGAGGCCGGATTCTCATTATCTGCACCTATGCGGGGGGGATATTCGTATACGAATACCCCTGCGTCTCTACTAATGATGTATGAAATCTATGATGGAAGATAATATTCCTGAGATGCATGGCAAACATGACCTGGTCAAGCGTTTGATGATGCAAGGTTGATTATGTTAGGCTATTACTTATCAGTCATTGCTGTGCATGGAAAGAATCCTCCCTGTCACAAAGGTCCAAGCCCCCTAATATCGTACCTGCCAGTCAGAATGCCAGGATAACAGACCCATAGGCACCGCAATCATTTAGAAAAACTATTTCTCTAGTACTTTGTTTTGTTTTGACTTTCCCCCACGCCAGCATGAATTGGACTAGATGGGTGTAGAAATGGTGTTGGGATGGTAGTTTGCATTGTTTTTACAACAGCTAAAGTGAAAAACGGCAAGTTTAGCATAGCTAATTTTGTGTTCATATGATATGGTTCATTGAGTTGGCAACTTACATTGTGGCTGGTGTTTCTGTTCAGTAACGTAAATTGTTAAATAATTAACAAAAATGTTTAGAGATTTTTAAAATAGTTGATTCATCTGTAAACTAATAGCCTATGCAATAAGCAGTAAGGCCAGATCAAGAGCTGCCCTGACTTTGTCTTCTGGAACTTTCATATTAAAGAGTTTCTTATCTCTATCAGTGTATCTGGCCTGTGGCAACTTGTGCTTTCTGGTGAAACTTCTTGCACCTGTTGTGGCCACCACAGATCATGATGGTTAGGATTCCACAGTTTCACAATAAAATTCACCAAAGTTGTCAGAATATACTAAAATGATCAGAGTTGCTTGATTTCAGAAAAGAGCATACATTTACAGTGCCTTTTGTTAATCTTCTAGTATGCATTAGAGTCATTCAAAATACTCAAGAAGAATGAAAAGCTACAAAGAATACAGGACAAATCTGAAGTTTAATATGCACTAACATGTTACCTAGAGTATCAAAATTTGATCATCACTGATTTATGACAAGAATTTTATATTGTAATACATAGAAGAAACACATATTTTGCCCATCATATAAGAATAATTTAAGCAGCTGCTAAAGCAATTGCATTGAATCGTAATTCATCTGGATCACGTTCCATGAATTTCTTGCAAACTTCTATGGCATCCTAGTAAGAAAAGACAAAAATATAAGTGTGCGAGCACTTCTATAGACATAACTAGAAATGGGGGTATTCGTATACGAATATCCCCACACAGGTGGCGTTAACAATGGTCCACTCACCGATCCGCTGTGGATATGGAGGGCACAATTCTACGAATGGCTCCACAGTGCACGATCAGTTTGCCACTCCTGGCAGGGGGCGGGAGGATAACCCTCGCTGCAAGGTTGAAGAGTAATGAGCGGATTGCGCGCTGCAGAACCATTTGTAGACTTGCGCCGTCTGCGTCCACGGAAGATCACCGAGTGGACCGTCTAGCCCCATGGGGCTGGGCCCTCGTTAACGCCACCTGTGCGAGGATATTCATATTTATATACGAATACACATACCCCTATTTCGAGACATAACTGATTTCAACAGATGCTGAACTGTAGTTTACATCTTGCAGCTAAGAATTGCTTTTACTTTAGTCTGTGTTGAAATGGTGTTCTACTGCAGCTACTTTAATCAGTAAGTGTTTTCTATTTTTTCAAACTACCCTGAGAACACTTTGACTTTACAGGTAGAATAAAAATATTTTAAATAAATACAGTACTCATCAAAAATCTGGCAAAATTGAGGGGCGTTCTGCCCATCACTTTAAGTGGCTTTTTAATGCATAATAAATACATTTTTAAGTATAATAAATATATTGGCAAGTAGTAAACAATACTGAGGAAATTTCATTGTAGGGAAAGTTTGAAGGCATCTAAATCCATATTTCCTTCTAAAACAAAGGTTTCAGAATTCTAAAACACAAGTACTTCAGTTCCAATAAAGCTCCAAAACATGAGTACTTAGAATTCTTACCTCTAAAAATGTGTCACTGTTTGATTGACCATGATTTATCGGGAAAGGCTTCCGTCCATCTGTTGGGATATACAGAAAGTATTTTTTCCATCAGGACTCATGCAGAACTCCTCACAAGATTCCTACAAGTGACATGGTACTACTGGGACCTCATATTTTTCCTAAGTTTAATTACTTTTATTTTCCTTAACATATATGGTAGGAAAAATCAAGAATAAGTTTTATGATTAAATTCATACTATCAACTAATCATTGGATCATATATTTGATAAAGAAATATGCACACTAGCAACACATGCCATTTCCACTACCAGAATTATTAAGCCTTAAACTTTGGCATTGTCCCAATTCTCTCTTATGTAAACATGTATTCTTAATTATAGCAGTTTGAAACCAATGGAATTTCTTGAGTAGCTTCCTGTACAAATGTTGCAAGTGACAAAGAGCTAAATCCAATTTTAAGCGTAACTTCCTTGTCAACACTAATGTAATTTCAAATGGTCTGCTCTGATCAGAGTTGTCCCAAAACAATTTGCAAGTACAAGACAGAATTGGTAATATGCTGGGTGGAAAGAAATCCCTGTAGAGACCTATTTGGTTTCTGGCACTAATACTAGCCATTAATTTCACAAAGATGGCACAAAGGCAATGATTATTCCTTTTGTATCTTCAGAATTTAGAGGTACCCTGCATAGTACCCTGACATAGACATTCAATTCACCAACTAATTCTTCAAGACAACTTGTTTTTAAAGCTATCTTAGCAATACTGAACCACATGAAAGCCAGTTTTCTAGCTTCCACAAATACCTTCATTCCTCAACTTCAAGTTTCATGTAAATTCATGTGGTTTGGCAACAATTTATAATCCATTCTGAAGAAATCTTAAATGAGGTTCATATGAAGTATGCATTTAAGTGTTGATTCAAAGTGCTTACTATAATTACCTCTTTATTTATGACAATGCAAGAGGCAGCTCTGGAGTACCCATTCCTGATAAAATTCCAGACCCTAAAATTGACCCATTCACATTTTACATATCCATTTTTTAATTTCAATTGTCAGGTTTCTACCCTGGAAAATACCATTTAACATTGTTTCCCATTAATATAAACAACGTGTTTCCTATGGCAGTTCTTGCACCATCTTATGTTGTCACTACTACTCATGGCAGATTATAAATTTAATAATATCAAAAATTAGATGGGACTGGCTATAGATTTCTCTCTGTTTTGGAAAAGAATAACTACTCTTACCCAATTCGTAGAGATTGCCATCAACATTTACTAACGCAATGAAGTGAAGATCTACTTTCTCATCTATACTTGGTGCCTGTTAAGGAGAAATACGATATGTGTGCAAAGAGTTAGTGGACATTAATCTGTGTTTACACAGTCTGGGAAGAAAATAGACTGAGCAAGGACTCGGGCTTTAAAGTGAATGTTGACTCACAAAGTGTATGTGCTTCTGAACATATGGGGGTTACCTTCTCTCACCACACAGCCAGTTGACATGGGTTCTACTCATACCTGACAAAAGCCATGACATGATAGTTTATCTGGGAACAAGTCTCATTAAATTCAGTAGGGCTGACATCTAAGTAGATGATGTAGAGAATTACACTGGTAACTTTGCATTTAAGTTTACATCTTAAAATTGTCCTTTCTTGACAGAAAATAGTTTCAGACTGAATTTCAGTTTCATGTACGACAGAGCCATATGTTACCACACATAAATAACAATTAATTTTAGACCAACAAAACAGACAATATAGAGAAGATGCCCTGAAAGGAAGTCCGCTATCAAATCTATCATGTTTTTTTGTTTTTAACTAAACTCAGGGACATCTGAGCTGCAGCACTAAGAAATGCAGAATGACTGTGTAATTTAGGAACCTAACCGAGGCAAATTCACCACAGTTATAGCTATACCAGTAGAATGGTAAACTACTTCCGAGTATTCTGTACCTTGAAAACCCTGAAGAGAGTCACCATAAAACAGAAAATACCTGATGGTATATTATTTATTTATTTATTATACAATTCTCACTTTTAGATATCTAATTAACAGCCAACATGCACTGATATTTATGAAAAGAGCTCCTCGTTAAGCAGGTAATTAGAGTGGATCCTCTACTTAAGGAATTAATCCATATTGGAATGGTGGCTGCAAGTCGAAAAGTCTGTAAGTCGAATCTCCATTGACGTACAATGCACTGAAAACCGATTAATCCCATAACCAGTGGTTTTTATTCTATTTTTATTCCATTTTGGTTTTTTTCTGGTCTGTAAGTCGATTCTCTGGCTGCAAGTCAAATCTAAATTTTGCAGCCAGAGAAGTCTGTAACTCGAAAAGTCTGTAAGTCGAGCCATCTGTAAGTCGAGGGTCCACTGTAGCTCCAAGCTTCTATATGTCTTAAGCTTCAACAAAGGCCACCAACTTCCCCACAGCAAGACAACTGGCATTCCAGTCCAAAAAACTGTGCCAGTGCCCCTAACTCTGCACCAACATGTTGCTATATATAAAATTGCTACAAACTTGGCATAATGTTATAATACCATCACAAGTAGATATTTTGACACAGGTGTTCAGGATAAGAGCATGTATTGGTACAGTAATTCCTTGTACAGCTGGAAGGGTCACAGAGACTGGAAGATTTGCAGAGATAGTAGAATCAAAAGACTAGAATGCTATCCTTACGCTGAAAAAGACATTACAACATTTGGGGCTCTTTTCCTGAAAAATTAGACAACTAAACTGTGTAGAGACTTTAAAAATTACTGTGTGAAGGCAATATATAGCAAAATTCAAGTAACTCCCCGGACAGTGCCCATTGAGAGTCCCAATTACAGTAGACCTATTGTCTCAATAGGATTTACAGCACATTATTATTATTATTACTTATTACTTATTTTTCAGCAACTGATTCAATACGTTTAATACCTAGTTGAGGCTACCAATAGAATATTGACAGCTGAAGGAAGACATATGTGCATCCTTGTTTTGAATAGTTAAGTAAAAAGTTTGAAGAAGAATGGCTGACTTTAAAGACATTTATTTACCACTAAAGCCTCCATAAAACTTTGCTACTTGGACAGCATGTAGCTCATTATAAAGAAGGTCATATTTTGAAGAATACAGTCTCAAAATTATGCTCCTCAATAAAGACAGAAGCTCCAGGAAATCAGTGTATATGTGGGAATTAGGGGGAGTTATGCTTTCATTTCTAAAGATTAGATGTTGATGTGTATTGTTTATTTAAAAATCTAAGGACACTAAGGTGTTTTCTTGCAGCATCATAAAAGTCCTTGTCCAACTTTAGTATTCTTTTAGTTATCAGACCTTGCAGGTTTCTGAAATAGCCATTTGAAACTAATACCTTCTGTGCATTCAGTTATTTCAAAAATCTAAATGAGACAGCTCCCAAATGGCTACGTTTCCATGTTTAATTTTCTGTTATTTTGTTACCAACCCTCAATACTTTCAGCGCTCATTGTTGCCAATGATTTCAGTTCAAAGGGCTTTCCAACACAAGCCCCTGTATACATAGATGGGCCCAGCAGTTTAATCTTGCTTTCCACGGAGTATTGAGTGATGCAACATCTCTTAATTATACATCCTTTCTGAATAACCTACTTGGCCCTTTTCTGAAAGATCATCTTACAGCTATTAAAATCTACTGTTTTCCCTTTTGTTGTTGTTAACAGAAGTTTAATTAATGAAGTATAATTTAGGTACGTGCTGTATTGCAGTTGTACATAGGTAAATGTCGACAACTGAGACCAATCAAAACTTTTGTTTTGGAGTGGCATGGATGCAAACAATTGTTGCATGCATATTTCAGGGAGCATTTAAAAAAATCTCCTGTGAAAACAGTTCAACTGCAGCAAAGGATTCCTTCACTGATAACTCTTCCAAAAGAAGGTGGCCAGGGGGGAGGGGGGGACACCAGATACAATAATAATGAGTAAAGGAAGGGACAGTTTTCAAAAATCATTAACCAGCAATATTTTGTGCTAAAAATTCAAAGCTTCAGAATGCCCAGAAAACAGAACTTTTATGCAGTATTGCCTGTCAGGTATTGCTGAAGTACCTGAAATCGAGAGGAGAACAAAAGAAGAGAAAGCCCACAGAACACTGGGTTTTGAATAAAGGAAGTGAGATGTGAAAGAAATAGATCCGGCACAAAAGTTAGCAAGCCAACTGAAATACCAATGAGGTAAGACCAACCAGGTATCAGATGGGAAAATCTATGAAACAAATACCAGTGTCCATTAGAAGTAAACTTTTTAGCCACTTGATATTTGTTCTGGAGAGCATCGACTGATGGAGATTTAAGGCTGCAAAGCATAGAGATGTCTGCTTACTGCACGGAAGCAGAAGAGCCCAGAGAGGAATTCAGTGATGAAAAGTAGCACTCCACCCCTGGATGCTGAGTCAGCAAGCAGGTTTGCGGCAAAGAAGAGATGGAAGAGTGACTACACTTACAATACAGTGGAGCCCAAGAGATGACAAGGGCACTGTGGGCCGCCAGCGCTGAAGGCAGACAGGTGGAGTGGTAGCCTTTACAGGGCTTGTAGCTTTTGCACAGGCTACATGATCACCTCTGATCAGGGTCAAGGAAGCAGACCGACGCAAGGTGGAAGCCTTCATTTTGCAGTAGCTAAACTGAGGCTGTGATGAGGCTGGTGAGGGCAGCATGGATGACGGTGACTACATAAATATTAAAAGAAGACAGACTTTACACGTAGCCGTATTTTTCATTTTACTACATACCTAATGGAGAGACATTTAGCTCAAATTTAAATGGGCAATTACGGTCTAAAAGTGAATTGGAACTGTTCAGTTTTAAATAAGAGAGGTATTACATTCCAAACAATACTTTCATAATGATGAGTCCTACCCAAATCATCGGGAAATGCACTTTCCATCTTCATCTAATAACCACACCATGAACTATAGTATGTTCTCAGCATAATGTTATGAGAAAATGAGAGTAGTGAGAGGGCAAGAGAGAGAAAAATAGATGAAGAATAATTCTACTTTTTAAAAATATTCAGGGTGTGTTATTTTTTGGGGGGGTGGGCAAACAACCTTCAAAAGACCAGCTGTCATCTTTTTAAAAACAGGCGAGAGGTGGAATTATATCATCTGCATTACAATGTTTTTCAAAGTAACAAAATGAGGCATGTACGAGTGTGTACACACATCATACAAAGAAGAGATTTCCCCATTCCTTGGATGGCAATGACTGTGCATGCATTTTAACTGATGCAGAATAGATGAGATCAGAAAAAGCTTCTATCCCTCCATGGACACCAAATCATCCCCACAAAACCTGTCCATCGAAGATTTTCTCAGGCTTTGCAAGGTTAAGGAAGCACACTGGACACAGTCTCACGCTCTCTTCCCAAGGAACACATTAAGAATTGTGCCCACAATGTACAATTCTAAGGTGATTAAAGACCTAGAACCCAGTTCTTTAGAAGCAGTACCTGGGGGGGGACACACACACAGTATCTTGCAAGAGAAAAATAGTACCTTGCAGGAGAAAAACACTTTTCTTTAAATATGTAAATATGTGCCCTTGGATAGGATTTTATTGTAAATTATTTAGAACATGGCCCAAGATTAGTTAACATGGAAATTAAATTACAGTTGGTTTCTGACTAGCTTCAATCAACATAAGGAAACTGTGATTTTCCCTGACCATAGTTTGCACATATGGAAGTACAGTTGTCCTAAAATGAAAACACTTTTTCTCCCCTCTTCAAGGAGGAGGAAAAAGAGGGGAATTGTGCAAGTTCACAACATCCTCAGTCACCATCATCTGAGCTGGGCCTTGAAGTCCTTCAGATTGTTAAACCTAGAAGTCCTTAATAGGCAACTTGGTGCGTATTATCCTTTTGAGAATCAGTAAAATTTCAGCAACAGGTACAAAATGCAGGGCCTGCAAAAGTTACTTTTTTGGACTATAACTCCTAGAACCTCTCCCTCCAACCAGGACAGCCAGTAGCCATGCTGACTGGGAAATTCTGGCAGCTGTAGTCCAAACAAGTAATTCCAAACTCTGGACCTAACAAACAGAGCAGAAGTTCAGAGACCTCATAACTGATATGCCAAAGCAATTATGTTAAGTTCTTCATTCCTTAATGCTTAATCTTATTTAGCAAGACCTTATTCTTTATTTTCCTTGTACATGAATTGTTTACCTAGAAACAATAAAAATAAACTTTCCCAGAGGAGAACTTAGGTTTGCAGGTTTAACACTCAACAGGAAATACCTTCTATATCATGTGCACTTTGATCTGAAAAACAGGCTCAGGAACTCA